TATACAATTTAATATTAGATTAAATACAAATAAATCTAAATACAGGAAGAACTTCTTGTTTTTAAAAAAGTTAGGGTTGACATTACTTATTGCCTGGTGTCCCTGGCCACAACATTTCACATTTTGGCTACTAAAAATATAGAGCCTGTGACCTGAGTGGCCTCTAGCCTTGAAGAATTTTTTGTTGTCTTTTTCCTCTTTTAACAAATCTGGTTTGTCTGAGATAGTATTAGACAAATCAAATTTTGTCTGTTTAAAAGTAAGCACAGCAGTAGCAAAGGTGGCGATGCAGTGACCAAAGTGGTTCCCGCTGCCGAGTTGCTCCACCTGGTGTCATAGATACCATTAGCTGAAGTTTGCTAATAGCGCTCTATGAAACAAGGTCTTAAATAAAAGAGTGTGTCAAAAAAGCTAGCATTACACAGGCTGTCACTGCAGCACCTGTTGACATAACATACATTATAGGATGACCTCAGTGTGGACCAGCTCAGCAGAGAGGACCACTACGGTCACCACAGTGGCGTTAATAAATTTTCATTTTTTTAAAGCAACACCTAAGTGGTAAATACAGTATCTAAACAATAAACATGTTTCTATTATTCTGGCCACAAATTCAGAATTCTGGCACACAGAAGAATACAGTTAGAAGGTTCTTGACTTCTCGCTGCACTTTGCATTGATTTGTCAAATTCTATCAGCAGCACACCTGATTTAATTTAATGAAGGATTGATTAGCAAAAGCAGGTAGCGGGGGGTGAATATAAATACTGTGCTTCCTCAAGGAGAGCTTTGGAAATGGTTAAGCTAACACAAAAATATATTATTTGTTTGTATTTATCGTAATGTTATTGGGGTTTTTAGAAAATCCTTCCGAGATAAATGACTTTACATGTAATTATCTTTTTTTAAGACTTTTGTTAAGTACCTGATGTAAATGTTTACAAGAATTGCCTGTATTAGCTTTGTAAAATTAAGAGTTTTACCTTGTCCTACACCTTCTGCACTCAGGGCATGAATGGATTATAGCATGAACTTAATATTGTAAAATCAAAAAGGTTATCAGGTATTTATGTTTGAATAAGCAACAAGGTGTTTAACACAACAGAATGAACACAACAGAATTATTAATTTCGTTTTGCTGTACTATTTAAATGTTATTACAGTTACAATTAAATAGCACTAAAAAGGGATTTTAAAGTAATAATCTGTAACTTTTCCAGCTATAGGTGAGGTGCAACCAAACATAAAAAAAAGACTTGTTAAGAAAAAGGTGCAATGTTCAGTCTAAAATCCTGATGTTCCAGCCCACATTCAAGGCCTTCATGGTGATCTGATGAAGTTGAATGAATGTGGGCCAAAACATCATGATTTTAACGTTATACATTCATCACTTTTCTATGATGTAGAATGAGCGTTGCTCTTTTTTCTTGACAAAAGGATAATTCTACATTTAAAAATATACTAGGAAGGATAAGATGTAAACTAAACCAATAATATGCTTCCTTTCTGCAAATGTGGTTTCTGTCTGGTTAACAATTTCTGTTTACCATACTGTGTAATGTTCCTTTTGGTGTAATTTTGAGAGAAGAAAACAACCAAACAGTCCAATCAAAACAAGCCAGGGCATTTTGTAAAGCATTCTCTTTACAAAGAGCTGCAGTTCTCTAGGGCTTTATTAATACAAATACAAATATTGTGATATTAAATTTCATTATTGTGCATATGTTAAAATTTTCTGTGTGTTTTAATAGCAAAAAGGTGGCAAAAGTAAATGATGTTTATTCTATCCGCAGAACAAGAAAGTGCATTAAAATATCTTCATCAGTTTAAATCCTAATAAACCTCCCTTTCTAGTTATGTGCATAAATGTGATATTGAAGTTAAGAATCCACACTTTTGACATAATTTCTGAAGTTCTGGGCTTAATAATCTATAAGTTCCAAATAATTAAAATCAAGTTACATACTTTTGTTATAAATAGCAAAAACGGCAACTTCTATGGGATAATCATCGGTTATTAGCATCGGCCCAGAAATTCCATGTTGGTTCGTCCAATAGGAAGTCAGAATGGGGATTGAAGGGTTTTGGAGGAAGAAAGCTGATGCTGTCCTGTCCCCACTTAGCCGCTTTATTAGCTGTGATGCTTTCTGTCTAACATGTAGCGCCGTGGTAATATTCTGCAGACAGCTAAACCAAAGAGAGAGAGAGAAATGAATAGGATCTTTCTGCCAAGTCATCATTACATTGGATCTTTGAATTGTTGTTCTGTTATTACCATGTTATTGGACCAATGTTATGATGATGAGGCATAATACTGCTTCAGGTTTGTTTGTTATTTCAAATATCCAACTGAAACAGGGAGCGTTTGCGCTCACCCGCCGGCGAGCTGTTTTCAATAAGAGGCCTTGACCGAGAGGAGGAAGAGGCAAAGAAAGAGGGCAAGTTTTGTAACCGTCTGGATTGCATTTCAACTGTTTCCTGCTGTTTTGTTCAGTTTTAGGTGCTGGTATATTTCCTGAGAGGGTACAGAACATTAGATAAGCGTTGGATTCCACAGCCGTGCTGCATTCCAGGCTGCCTTAAATCTGCCATTGCAAAGAAAAAGGGAGAGAGAGAAAAGAGAGTTTGAGAGAGAGAGAGCTCATGGTCAAAAACACAGAAAACAACAAAAAAAAGCAGTTCCCTCCGGTGTTTAGTTTTGTGGATGTGAGTAAAAGAACATTTGCCACAATAATCTCCATCTCGCCAGCAAAAACTGTTTGGCTTCACAGAAACTGGTTCAACAAACATCTCTGACATCTTTTTTTATGGCCGGCCTTTTGGCGCTTGTCATAAACAAATTAAGAGATCTGTGGAGGAGAGCGTGTTTTATTCTGTGTTTCATTGAAACAGGCTGGCCCCTGAGCACACACACGGCCGCCGGCCAAGCCTCCAAGGATGGTTCATGTTAAACTAGACTTTTTGCCTAATGCTTGATACCACACAAAACAATAGGACAGCCCCATAAAACCCACATTTTAAAACCCAGGAAGCTCACAATAGTTTTGTTGGCTTAAAGTCTCAAATTCGCTATCATGAACTAAATTTATTGCCAGTTTTTATGCATCTCCTTGAACAACTATTTAAAGACTCATTGACAGTTTGCTTTATGTGTTTCTTTTACAGTAACTGAGTGGCTACTGAACAATAATTCTCTGTTAGTTGACTTTTTTATATTTTTGCTGAGCATTGTAGAACTGTTATTTGAATTAAGCGTTTAGGAGTTCACTGAATTTTTCCGAAGGTGGAATGGAAGGCACACTGCATAGCGCATTTTTTTTATCTTGGAGTCCAAAATGTGTTTTTATTAAAACACAGACAGCTATTATTCACTAGCAAACCTGGAGATTTTAGCAATAAATTGTTAGATCAAGGATTAAGCTTTTCTCTATTACAGCTGCTTTCCTTTGATCCGATTGTCAGCGCAGAAAAATGTATCGTGCATAGGCTACTTGACCACTTCAGAACAGCCAGAAAACATATATTTAACAGAAAATTACACAGAAACCTCAACAATGACATTGTTTTAGTTTCTAGTGTGTCTTGCCTTCGTTGCAGACTTCATTCTTTTTGGGAAACTTGTTTTTTAGTTTTTCAAAGAAATCTTCAGAGATGTTTTTCTACACCTCCAAAGTGCAGTCACAGAAGTGGATGTTGAGGTCTGGACTCTGGGGTGGTCAGTCCATTGTTCTGAGAAAACCAGAAATTCCTTTGGTTGAGTTGCAGTTTCCTTTTCTCAGTAAGGGCTTTTTGATAGCTACACATCTTTTCAGACCCACAGTGTTGAGTTGTTTTCACACAATAAAAGGATGGACAGAAGCACCTGTGGATTTCTTCAGATCTGAAGCAAGAGTGAAGCTTGTTTTTCTCCACTCTCTTCAAGTACTGTTTTATCTTACAGGAGCAGATTTGGTGGTCTGCTGGGTTTTTCAGAGTCATTAGAAGTTTTATTTTCTCCTCATTTTAACAGTTTTTAAATCCAGTTTTAGAACTTTCTGTTGTTTTTTTCACATATTTTCCTTTTCACCTTTCTTGTGCAAGTGGGTTACATATAATCTCCTCAGAATAACTTGTACTTAACGGCCACTTTGACTGGAAGATATATATGTGAGTCCCTTAGAGTTTAAGAGGATAATAAAAAAAATCCTAGCAAAGATCCATGCCCTCAAATTTTTTGGTTTTAACCCCCTAAAATCTCAGACATATTATATACTAAGGCTTATTATTTAGTAACTACAGGAACTTCAGTGCAAACTGGCTGAGCTATTCTTAAGTTATAGAAGTGCGTAATAAAACTTTGGGCCATTTAAGGGGTTAAATTGTCAAGTAATGGCCCAATAAACACAACAACACACTAGGATCCTTCAGCCCTTCACAGTCCAAGTGAGTTCCAGGCAAAGCAGACTGTTCTTCGCAGTTTGGCTATGTTTGGCTGTAACGTTGCAATTGGTGACCAGCAAACTGACATTTGTTGGATGGCTTATGTTGTGTGCTAGCCTCTGTGGTTCTAAAGGGGAAAAGAAGACAATGGTGGCGTTTAGAGAGAAATAAAGAGAGTAAGGGAGAGCATGGCTGGCCTAGGCTTCTCCAGCAGCTCTGATGGGGCTCCGCTGATGTCTTTACAGGCGTTCCACACTCCTGAAATGACTTATTAAATCAGCTGAAATGACCCCTGACTCCTTTTGCCTTTGCTCCTGACAGCTTTATATGCTGTACCCGCGGCATTTATTATCGGCAGCTGACGTCGCAATGACCGCTGGCCCCCCTCCGCTCCCCTTCACAGAATAACTTTTTATTGAGGGAGAGGACATTTTTTCCCATTTTGGATTTGATCCTTGTACTTTTTTTGTTCAATATTGGATCTTAGAACTCCCATAGAACCTGGAGTTTTCTTATCACATTCATAGAGAGATATGAAAAGAAATGGTGCTATTTTTATCTTTGGTCATTCCCCCTCACAGTCGGACTCCACGGCAACCCTGACCTGTGCAGATGGGAAGTGGAACAAGCAGGTGTCCTGCGAGCCTGTGGACTGCGGCCGGCCCGACAAGTACCACGTGCACCCAGCTGTCTTCCAGTTCTCTGAGGGCACCACCTACGGCAAGAGGTGCACTTTCCAGTGCCGGCAGCCAGCACAGCTCATAGGTGGGTACTGAACGGCAGGTCCACGGCAAAAGGCCACTGAGTTTGAGAGGATGACTCTAAATGTCATCTTTGCTTTAACTACAAAATGTGACGTCCTTTAAATTGGAAAAATAATATACTTGAGTTTGGAGTTGAATTTACATTTGACCTCTTAAACTCTAGTTTTTTCGGTAATTTATCTTAAGGCTTATTATCTAGTAACTACTTGCTGTTCTTCAGTATCTACTATGAAACTACTTTGTAATGTACAGTTGTATGCAAGAGTTTGTGTGCCCGGGTCAAGTGATTTTTTATTTATTTATTTTTTTGTGGTTTGTTTTTGGGTTGTTTTATTTTTAAAGAGAACTTCTGCATATTGTAATGCACAGTTACTGTTTATTTCCTGAATTTAATATATTGGGGGAAAAAAACAATAAATGTAGGCTGTGCAAAATTTATAGCACATTTTATATTTTCTGTGCTGTTTTTTTCCAGTATATTGCATGATGCGTGATAAATTGAACTGTCAGGCAATTAGAGACTAGTATGAAAATGAAAAATGTACATCATTATTGGACAGTGATTACAGTTGTATTGTTTTGGTGCTGCACTTCAGTACATTTGAATTGAAGTTAAATAATGACTATAAAGTGAAAGTGCAGAATGTCATTTTACATTGTTATTTATGTCTATTTTGTGTAAACCATATAGTAATCAATTGCAACAAAATTGTACAACTTTAACACAATCCTAAAAACAGATTTTCATCCTGCTTTACAGGAGATGAACGCTCATAATGAAGGTCTACAACCCAACTTAATTCCTCTGTAGCCTTAACACATCTGTTGTGGCGTATGCAATGTTTTTTTGGGTGTGAAAAAGCCTGAAAGTGTTATTTCTGTTATGTCACTGGAGGCTTGCTGAATCATTACATGAATGACAGAATCATTTGTGAATAGTTGGATGCTACAATTCAATTGAGTCAGTTCTGCATATTAGACATATTGTAAATGTGCACTGTGAACATAACAAATCATCGTTATTATGTTCCATGTGGCTATTGGTCACTGATACAAACGCTAATACAGAGACGTGTGTGATACAGAAGCATTATTTTTGTCTGAAGCTCACTGTATGTTCCTTAGCTCTCTCAGTTTTAACTCCTCTGGTCTCCAATAGGCACTAACAATGTACTTACATGTATGGAGGATGGGATGTGGTCCTTTCCTGAAGCTCTTTGTGAACTACGCTGTCCCGCACCTCCGCCAGTCCCCAACGCCATTCTGCAGACCAAACGCTGCAATGCCACTGGCCTCAAGGTGGGCTCCTTCTGCAAGTACAAGTGCAAGCCTGGCTACCACGTCCCTAGTGCCGAGAAACCTAAGAGGTGAGTCACTTCTGGCACCTCTGAAACCTGAGTACCCTGTTATTCTAATTCTGACTCTAACTCAAACTGTATGGTTGATTCTTATTAATGTAATTACTGTTAAAAAAAGAAGTTTTAAGTGTAGTGAACGGAGCTGTGGGTGATTCTAAAACGAATAAAAAATTGAGAATAAATTTACACTACCTATTGCATTCAATGGGATTTGTGATCCAGAGCTAATCATCCAACATGAGTATTTGACCTCACTGATGCTTTTGTGGCTGAATGCAGTCAAATCCTCAAAGCAATGTTTCAACATTTAGTGTAAAGCCTTTTTAGAAAAGAAGAAGGTGTTACGGCAGCAAAGTTGGGACAAACTCCCTATTAATACCCCTCATTTAAAAAAAAAAAACTGAAGAACAGATATTTACAAGCATTGTGGCAAACTTTAGCCTTCATTCATTTAATTTGCAGTCAAATTGCCCATAAAGTACATGACATTCATTCTTCAGGAGATACCACAGAGATTAGGCAAAAGATATTGCAATAAAGAAAGGCAAGGTCAAAGGAAAATAGGTTGTGTTCCTAACACCACACAAGACCAGGTAGTCAACCAAAACTGACAGCTGGACACAATGCATAATGAAATTTGAGATATTTTTTGTTGAAGCTGTTGTGTGATTTTCTGTTAAATATGTTTACTGTTTTTTCGCTGATGCTGAAAAATTAATAACTTGTACTTTATGTCTACTGAACCCCAGGAAGAATAGTGGCTATCACAATAGCAGCTAATGGGCTAATCCTAAAAATAAACAAAAAATAAACAAATGACCGTTTTGACTAGAAGATAAGTAAGGGTAATCTCTGAGTTTTGCGCAGTACTGTGTAAAATAACAAAAGCTGTTAATATTGACAAATGATTCTGAACAGTAGTATACATTGGTGTGTGTGTGTGTGTGTGTGTGTGTGTGCGTGCATGCATGCGTGTGTCTGTGTGTGACATTGCTCATCAGACGGGCGTTTACGAGGCAGTGTACGGAGGATGGAAGCTGGCATCCAGGTGTTTGTGTGCCAGTGATGTGTGAGCCACCACTGCCAGTCTTCCATGGCAGCTACCAGTGCACCAATGGCTTCCAGTTCAACAGCGAGTGCTGGCTAAGCTGCCCAGGGGCCAACCACACGGTGAGAGTGCACAGCCGCTGCAAGCAGGTCTATCACTTTACCTCGCTCTGTCTCTCCACCTTTCCTCTATGTCACTCATCCCTCCATCATGGACTCATTGACATTTGTCATGGCTATTCCGCCACCACAGCATGCTTTCCATTTGTTTGTGCTTTGCAGATTTTTCTCGCTGTCATCCATCCTGCTGTTTACTTAGTCCACGGTTGATAAAGGAAAATTTCATTTCTCATTTCATGTCATATGAAGAGGAACTGAGCATGACCTGTGTCGGAATTCACAACTCTGACAGTTAGCCCATATATTGATCATGGACCCATAAATACCTTCATTCTTGGCAAGTGGATTGATTCTTATTCAATTGAATAAGAAATTTTAGTGCAGGCCTTTCAGAAATATAAATTATACAAATAATTCTGTTGCTGGAATGTTTCTTTCAGGTTTCTACATAATGTTGATTTTCCATTTTAAAATGCACCACTATCCCACAGCACTATATTGTTGTAACTAATCATAACTAGGTGCTCTGAAAAAATAGAATTTGCCACAATGCTAATGTTAGCTTGATTACATGACAAAAAACTACATCCAGTTGATCCTGACAGTGTGTCCTGCCACACAAATACATACTTGAATAATGAATTTCCTTTGAAATTACCAATTAGAGTTCTGTGCCAGAGTTTTGTAAAGCTTTGTCCAACTTTGCAACAGTTTGCTGCTATGAAGAAAAAGCATTTGTGGGTAGAGCATGGATTGGTCAGTTGGTTGTCCAAACATTAACCAAATCATGTGCAAGTATCAATGTCAAAACATCATTACCTCTAGATAAATTCAAGATTGTTGTCTATGCTTCTGTTGCTCAGTATGGTGAGGAAGAATGCTTGTTTTTTCCTCCAGGCTGCCTCCACCTCCAGTGTGATCCGCTGTAGAAAGGATGGGAACTGGACAGGCTCTTTCCAACTCTGTCCAGGACTGAAAGGCCAGTGCTCCCTCCCTCAGAACCTGGGCCCTGCCATCCTCACCAGCTGCACTGAAGGACTACACAGCATTGGTCTGTAAAGCTCCAAACTGAGCTTCAGCTGCTTTAATGTTTCTAGCTATCTAAGTTTGCATCATAGCCTACATCACAAGCTACTGTAGAACGGATGGAAATTGATGGCAGCATTTTTATCATTGTACTTGCTCTGTATGTTGACATTGCTGTAGACCTGGGAAGGCATGAGTAATTCTGTAGTTGGCATCATGCCAATATTAGGATGTGAAGGTGTAAGCAGATTTTTCTGTTGAAAAAATGTTTGGCATTTTCATAAATCACCTCAGTGTGCCCTGTGGCAATTGACTTACTGTCTTAAAATAATGACTTGAAATATTGTGCTAGTATGACTTCTTTTTGAGATTTTGATGTTAAAATAGTATGTTGAAATAATGAGTTATAACATTCCGAGAATTTAAGTAATTAGTAATAAGTCATTATTTTGAAATAAGTCATTTTCTGAACATTACACACAGAAAGTGTGAGCTGTTGTCTCAAGCTAAATTAATAAAATCATGATAAAATGACGTTACTCGGTTACGGTGACATAGAGAGACAAAAGTGAAAAGTCACACAAAGCCTACAAAGTTAGAAGATGATTTGCTGCAGCTTTTCAGCAGAGATAACATGACAAAAACTGCACCCAGTGTATCCTAAGAGTTACTATAAAAGTGTGCATTTATGAGCCAAGCATGGATAGGTCACTTGACGTGGAACTACACTTTTGCAGTTGCTGAAATTTAGATGCATCTCTGTTAATATACTTACAGTTTTTCTCCTGCTGTTAAACTGAATCCCTGGAGCTCTTATCTTAGACCTGTGTTTGCTCTTCCACAGGAGCCAAATGTGAGCTGGCCTGCAATGACACTGGCAGTAGTTTGGTCCTTCTCCCTAGAAACATGACCGGAGACGATTTGATGAAAGACCACTGGCGAAACCCACCCAAAGTTGAGGTGCGTTTAGATCCCAGCAGTCCAGCGTCTATCATCAACAAGATCACTAAGTGTTTTCATCTCTTTTGTATTTATCATGTTCCTAAAACCTTCTCTCTATTCTAAGTGTTTCAGATGGTTGTGTTTGTTAAATATTCACAGTCCAGTCATAATAAAAGCATAGTCCTTAAATATGTCCATAGCTCTGTAACTATATATAGCTCTGTATCACAGTTGTTTAACACTGGGCCATGACGAAACTACTCTGAAATCACTTCTAGTAGTCTAGAAAAAGGGCACATAAGCACCAGAGGTGGTCAAAATAAACTTGCCCTTTAATTAGCACACTTTAAAAGCCTATTTTTGTTATTGAACTTATTGTGATTAATAATAGAATTAACCATTAGCATAAGAACAGAGATGATGAATGCGTTTTCGGCTCAGTCCTTAAATCTCATACATCGTGTTGTTTATCAGACTGAAGGGGAACAGTTAGGCTGGACCACACACACACATGCTTGTGACATTTTCCTTTTGCCCTTTCCTCTGTGTTTGAAAAAAGTAAGGAACTGGGGAGATGGGCAGCAGAGTGAGGTTTGAAAAAAACAGAGAAAGATATTGTTACCTAACAAACAACTGCCTGGCACAGAACACAATCAGCGATTATAGTAATTACTCACAAAATCCTGAAGGTACAATATAACACTTATTTTTTTTAGCCACAGTTTATTGTCAAGTTTGACTCAGTGTAGTACTTTTGAAGCAAACTTTAGAAAACGTGCATTATGTCATAAAACTTGGTTCAGACACAAACACAAGCTTTCAGACAGCTGTGACGCATGTCTCTTATTTCCTCTTTTCTTACGGCTCTCCAGCTTGACCTGCAGTACCTTTAGAAATGATGAGTGTAGCGGATGAACAGCTGTTATTTTCCCGAGAATGAATTTACCATCAAAACTTTCTGACCACTGCGCTGGACCATAGGCGTGGTCCGCGACGGCCTCAGAATGCTCGACAATAACTGTGATGACGTGCTGACCTACCCTTGAACCACCAGCGCTTCCAAAACGACAGCCCGAACCACTCACCTAGCGAATGAGACTGAACTTGCTGTAGGTGGACGTCCTTTCTCTAACACTGTGAATGTGGCTCTCCCCTCAGCCTCCCTCTCTTAGTTATCCTCCTCTGTGGAAGCTTTCATCACGACAGCCACGTCATTTCTTTGTGTTCTGCTGATGGGAGCAGACCACAGACACTGGTCTAGTGCTTTAAAAGAATGACTCTGGCCTTATTAAATGACTCATCGTTTAGACTCATGGAAAGATGTATGAAATAAAAGCCTGTCCTCAGTCTTCTCTATCTTTGTGGAAAAGGGGTGATTTTAATGCTGGGCAGTATTGATAAAATATAGTTCTGTAATATTTTCCTAACATCTTACAGTATTACATGATATTTGAGTTTGCAGTAATAAAGTAATGAACCCATGCTGCCTGAGAACTGGTACTCTGCTAAAAGATTGTCTTGCAGAATTCCAGTCTTTTCAGAATTCCAGAAACAAAACGCTCAGGGAACAATAAGCAATGAACTGCGCTGCAGTTATCTTCGTTTCCACACAAAGATCTTCAGCTAAAAAGAAGCTGAAATGCACATCAAATTTGCACACAAACACTTTGACGAATTAGAACGATTTTAGAACAATGTACTCTGGTCAGATGAAATAAAAATAGAACTGTTCAACAATAGTTCAGTTCGTCATGTTTGGAGTAACAAGGTTTGCCTCCCAAAAACACCAAACCTACAGTGAAGTATGAAGGTGGGAGCATCATAATATTGGGCTGCTTCTCTGCAAACGGTACCGGGGCATTACACTTCATTGATGGAAATATGAATAGAGTAATGTACCAGGAGGTATTAGAGCAGAATTTAAACTTCGTACTGTACAAGTCGTAATTGCAAGCAACAGCTTCGCAACAAAGTACGAATGTTGTTAATTTGTGGTGTCTGAAAACTTTTTTATTCACACATTTTTAAAAATGAAAACAAAAGTATCTAGACACTTGAATTCCCTCTCTGTACATCAGTTAACTATCAGTACCACTAAAAATCAGTATTGTTGTGTGGATATACATTGTTCAGCACTAGGGGATATCATGTAATTTCACCAGTGCTGAATGAACGAAACAGCTTGAGGCCCTAAACAGACACAGGTCACGAAAAAGGAGATGAGGAAAATCCATCTGCTTGATTTATTATGTCATTGATTTATTCCTTGAAGGCTAAATGGTGTTTTTAGGTGACATCATGCCTGTGAGTGGTTAAGAGGTTGTCTCTGACTTTTTTTTGCCTTCAACTCCAAACATTGTAGAGGATGTTTTGAGAAGCCTGATTGTTTTTCATTCACTTTGAAAGAGACCTGTCAAATGTAACTCCAGGCAGCGACAGTGTTGAGAGTGTGAGTACGTGAATGGTACCCCTCTGTCTGTGTGTCTCTCTCTCTTTCTCTCTCTGACCCTGTGTGGCCTCTATTAGAGACCAGCATGCTGACAGAGTTGTGGTGGAAATCAGCGTAGCAAATCAATGGAGATTGGCTGAACATAGTTTACTTTGGTTGGATCATTTTTTTAAGAAAATACACACAGCCTTGGTAACCTTACCCCTTAAAAAAATCACCCTTTAATGCTGTACACAGGAGCTTCAGACCCATCAGTGAAAAACATCCATGTCTTAATCGTGTGGCTCGGAAAAGGTGAGGGGAAAAAAAATAAGTACAAGAAGAACAGCCCACTGATACAGATATTATAAAAGTCCATTTAATAGAAGGCAGGTAGTGCTTGTCCTGCCCAGGCCTTTAGAGAAACTGTAAAAACAAGCACAGGTTCAGAAGCAGACGGTTTAAATTAGGCCTGAGTAAACAGGCCGCCTGGACCCTCTGTGTGACACTGAATGCTAAGTGTATAAGAGTATGTGTGTGTGTGTGTGTGTGTATGTGTGTGTGTATAGATTGCTAAGGCCAAAGCTCACCACCCTAAGCCGCTCCAGAGCAGCGGGCGAATGCCTGCTTTCTTGGAAATGTTATGTTTACATTCAGCCTTTTCCACTCCTCATGGCTTCTGGAGTTCCCCCAGAGCACGTCATTTCGCCTCTCCAAACATCCTCTCTACCTGCGCTAACCCAGGAGCCGCTGGGCCGCTCTGTTCGCCCGCTTTACAGCCGCCCAGGCCCTGCTCCTTATGTTTAATGGCTCCCCTACTTAGCCAAGCTCTTAAGACTGTAATCCTCCAAGCCCAATACTTTAATGCATTCCCCCCACCGATTCCAACACCAAAACCAAAGTGCTGTAAGCAGAGGGATTTTTATTTGTTTGCACTTTCGTATGCTCGGATAGGAATCTGCCGAGAGACACATGTGCTTTGCCGAAGTTTGTTCAAATTCACTTAAATTCAAATGCCTTTGTGTTTCATTGCGTGGAATGTCCTCGGCCTGGAATTGCATCCGCAAATTCCACTTCCAACATCACTGCCAGCTCATATAAACTTGTCGTGTGGGATGATTCAGCTTAAAAACCAAAAATTATACCCGGCTTTGTCTTTGCGTCTCTTTTGCAGAGCATTGTATGCACAATTGGACTGAAGTGGTATCCAAGCCCAGATACTCTCCACTGCATTAAAGGCTGTGAGGTAAGAGATTCTATTCTTATCCTGACGTTTTTTTTCCTATTGCATTCACGTTCGTCTAAACTGAGAAATACCTGACCAGCACCAGTAGCGTCATTTGCTTGTTTTGCAAGCCAGAGTCTGACCTTGAACAGTTGTTTCTGCCATCTTCCCACGTTCTTTTGAAGTCCAGTACATAAATAAACGTGCGGCTGGTGGTTGGTGTCTTCCTTTTTTGTTGTGCGCTGCAACCAAAGTTCCAGCCGAATCCGACTCAGCTTTAGCAGGAGTTACTAAAAGCTGATGGGTGCTTTCGTGACCACCTCTGTTTTGTTTAGAAGGGTGATGTGGTTTTAGAGGGACCTGGAAACCCCATCTAGGGCTTTCTTTTAAAAGGAAAGGTCATGCCTCCTCCTCCCCAAACGGTGAAAGTGGGGTGAAATTGGAGTGGAGTCCAGTTTCCAAAAGGAGTGTCAATAGATAGATAGATAGATAGATAGATAGGTAGATAGAGAGACAGACAAAGGTAGATAGATCTGTCAGTGTACAAAAGTTAAAATGGTCAGAACAAGTTATTCATTTTCACAAGTTATTTCCGGGGAGATTAGATATAGGGTAAACCACTTGCATAAGGAAGAGGAAAGTCAAAAGAAGATAAGTGTAAAAAAGTTTCAAAAACTAAACTTCAAAAAATTCTTTAGGAATATAGAGAAAATGGGACTCCGAACAACCTTCCAAGAGCTGGTAGACCACAAAAACTGTCACCATCAAATAAACGTTACTTACAGTTTTCATCTTTGAGAGAGAGGAGAAAATCAAGCTCTACTCTTGCTTCAGATCTGAAAAAATCTCCAGGTGTTTCTGTTTATCCTTCCACTGTGAGAAGACAACACAACACTATGGGTCTGAAAGGATGTGTTGCTGACAAGAAGCCGTTACTTAGAAAAGAAAAGAAAAAATCCACAGGCTCAGGAATACTAACTCAGTTTTTCCAGGGCAACATAATTGCAACAGACTCTGGTCTGTGTGTCTATTTTAGAAAAGAAAAGAAAAAATCAAAGAAAGAAGCTGTTGATGTTCTCAGAACAGTAGCCACCCCAATGCCCAGACCTCAGCATCATTGAATGTGTTAGGGATTACATGGATTGTGAGAAGCAGAAAGTGCAACAAACATCTATAACTGAATCTTGGAGGTATGAAAAAAAAATCCCTGCAGACTTCCTTGAAAAACTGAAAGCAAAACTCCCAAAAAGAATGAAAGCTGTAATAAAAGCAAAGGTTGGACACAATAAATACTAAAAAAATTATATTACATTTAGTTGTTGAGGCTTCTGTGTAAATTTCTGTTAAATATATGTTTACTACTCTTTTTTTCAGACATTGAAAAAATAAATAACCTGTACTTAATGGCCATGTTGACTAGAAATTCAGGAAATAAATGGTCTCTGACTTCAGCAAAGTACTGTGGACAAACAGATATACTGACTTAATAGATCCCCAGGGGGAGCTAGGATGCTAGGGTAGCAGAAAAGCCCTGAACATTATACGGAAAAATTACTAAATAGACACTATTACACATATTAATACATTCAGTAGAAAAAAAACTTTTTTGCAGACTTTAATATCAACGGAAACATTCATGCATCAATGAGTAAACTGAAAGAAGACGTTGTGTTGATGTAATGTATTATTCATGTGGAACCGACATACTAAAAATTTGAATCATGTAAAGTCAGTGCTCCCTTTTCCAGTGTGCTTGAATAGTTGCATACAGTAAGTAAAAAAGATGATTAAATTGTTAATCACAGTTATTAATATGAGAATTAATCAACGACTGAAATTTCATGATCATGACAGGCCTACTGCCTTTACACTGAAACATGTCTAAACACTGGAGACAGCCGATATGACTCGTTTTAGAGTACAAGTGCTTGGCAAAGAACATTGGTCATACTTAGAATACAGTAACAGTGCATTCTTAAGCATAAAAATACACAGAAAACCATAATTTAAGAAACCCTTCAACAAATCATCTTTAATAAGACAGCACAGTAAAGTGGCACTGACGGCAGCTGACCGGTTACCGTTTTTTTTGTGCCAAAACGGCAGACTTTTGAACCGGCCACATCCTGACCCACTTTCAGCCGCTGGGTAATTAATTAGCAGCCCTCTGAAAGCAGTTGGGTCGGGCCGGGGAGATGATTTCAAACTGGAAAAAGGTCACAGGTGTGCCGGGCAACCTTTGGAGCCTGTCAAGATGGAAATGTGTAGTAACTCTCGAGGGAGACACATATAAGTTTAATAGGGCTTCAGTTTCCCCATTAAAAGAGGCCTCCATCCACAGGCTCAGGAATACTAACTCAATTTTTCCAGGGCGACATAATTGCAACAGACTCTGGTCTGTGTGTCTATTTTTGCATGGTGTGGATGTATATGTGTGAATGCCTCTCTCCCTTCTCTCCCTCTCTCTGGAGTTACAGAGGACAGTTTTATTCTGGTATGCTTGATGTTTTGGCATAATGCCACATATTCATGATCCTTATAAAAATCATTGTGAATGTATTGTGTTTTATTCCGATTATAATGTTGGGGTTGGGGTGCACATATGCTTGTTACAGTCTTGTATGATACATTTGTTGTTGCTCTTTCTTCTGCAGCCTTTCATGGGTGATAACTACTGTGATGGCGTCAACAACCGAGCATTCTGTAACTACGATGGTGGAGACTGCTGTCATTCTACTGTTAAAACTAAAAAGGTGAGATATGTGCTTGTGCTTAGTTTAGTTGTACCATCACAGTTTAAAACTTGTGACCAGGGGTGGAATTTTTTATTTAGGTAAGGGTGCTTTCACACTTTCCTTGTTTGATCTGGACTTTTTGACTTTTCAGTTTGGTCTGAACCAAAAAGGCAGATGCGAAAGGTGCCTTGGACCATGGTCTGGACCAAAGGACCAAAATTTGGTCTGACCAAAAGAGGTGGTCTCGGTCCATATCAAAGTGAACCATGGTCCGGTTTGTGGTTCTGACTTTCAGACCAGTTACTGGAAGTTGTCACCCATTAAACAATAGAAGAAGAAAAAGAAGTAAAAGAGAGAAGTAAAAAAGAGCTGCGTTGGTAGCACTTAGGGAGATGAGGAGAGTAAGTATTTAATTTTAATTTGGTTCAATGTAAAAATCAAAAGTCAACTTGGAAAAAAAACGCATAAAAATGCCAAAACATATAACTTATTTTATGAGAGGATGAGAGAGAGAGGATATTCATTTTCCTCTATTTAAATGGAAAAGGCTACCTGCTGAATTGACAACATGCCAACATCAGACACACACTCCTCTACAAACCAGTCAGTGTTAAATATAGGGGAAGCTCCCACATAGGTGATGACGACAGGACGTAGGTTTGTCATGCAGAGTTCTTTCGTGCTCTTGCTAAATTGCAATGTGAAACCAAAACTAACCAAATTGAATGTATGCAATGTAACAAAAACACGAACCTTGGTTCGGACCTTGGTCCGAACTTTCGGGTGTGAAAATGTCCTAAGAGTGCTGCGACTGAATAAAGGAAATTACTTAACTGCTTACCTCTTACAGCCATACTTAGTAGACTTTAAAGCAGTATTTCCTGGTTTGAAGACCAGGAAAACCCACTTCTGATGATGAATCTTAAAGTGGAAGGACATTTTGAAAGAAAAATGTTTAACAGTTAAGGATTGTGCTATATCACTAATGCTAGCTACTGCCAGTGTATTAGCCTCTAGATCAGTGGCTTTTAATCAGAAGCCTTTGAGTACCATCAGATTTCCAATGATATATTTACATAGTGCATGCTGGGCATTGTAGTATACAACATAAATTTGTGACTTGTCAAACTGATGAAGCCCCTTTAGGTTAGACATAAAAAGCTATTTATTTCAAAACTATTTGAGTGATTATGTGGAGTTGCTTAAGGTTAATATTTGCCTTACAGAAAGGTACAGTGCTCAGGGTTCCTCTGGTTTTACTTGCTACCCAAGTTAACCCATTAGCTTGCCCTGAACGCTGACTTACATTAGATACATTAGCTAGCTTGTAAGAGCATTAGGTTTAATAAAGAGCTGTTCTGCTTATTATTCTAAAATGACAAAATAAAACAAAAATAGCAAAAGAACACAGAAGATAGCTAAGATTATTGTTAGAAAGAAACTCAAGTAAAATTAGCAATTTTTAGAAGCAATTATCCCCAAAAAATTTACCATTTACAGGAAAATGTTACAGGAAAACAAGTGCAATAATAAGAGTAGGTATGATTCATTACTTTTAAACCTTTTAAATGGTCTTCTTATTCATATTTTAAAATTAAAGAGCATATGTTGTTTAACAATATAATGTATGATGTAGGTGACTTTCCAGCAAATTCAAATTCAGCATTTCTGTACAGTATTTCTCTATGAGTGTTCATCACAATTAAAAATAATGAGGAATGTCTTGCAATTTGTAGTCCATAGATTTAATATCTTATACTAAATAGAAGCCTGTACAGCTGAGGCAGTGTTTTTCCCTCATGTATTCACTGTCCTTTCACTTCATCCCTCCCTCCCACCCCTTTTTTCACATGGAAAGGTTTTCTGGCTGCCAAAGAAAGTGATATTCTCTTGTAAGAGAGGAAAAGTGGCCTAACCTCATCAGAATTACAGCACCTCTTCTCTGGAAGTAGACAGGGCTGCTGAACCATCGTGTAAAGTCAAAACAAAACAGAAAAAAGAAAAGCCTTTTTGGCATGTGTTATGAGTTATGTCCCAGTGGAATACACAACATGTTGTGAAACATCTAGCAACAGCATTTGCCAGTGGACACCACCAAAGTTTTATAGTGAAAGTAATTAAATGCTTACTGGATTTGCATTGTCACACCACAGGATTCGTCAAGCAGATAAATAAATTCAACGTCCAGACTTCAACATTTCTGAATGTGTGGGATTAGTTGGATCATGAGAAGCAGAAAATGCAACCAACTTCTAAGACTGAACTTTGGAGGTGTGGAAAAAGATTTCTTAGAAAAACTGAAAGCAAGTCTGTTATAAAGGCTTCTATATTATCTGTTAAATTATCTGTTAAGTATAATGAGAAAACTTATACTTACCAGATAATTTTACAGATAATAGATAAACAAACTTGTACTTAATGGTCATTTTGACTAGAAATGAACTAAATAAATGGTGGTCTCTGACTTTTGCACAATGCATATTTCTTTTGCATAATACTTACCATGTATGTTTCAATAACAAAGTAAATCGATATAAATAAAACAGTGTATGAGGGGAAAAAGGGTATTTTTTTTATTTAAATGTAAAAGAACAAGAAATGTATAGAATAAAAAAAACAATAAGAAAAAATAAAGCAATACATTTCAATAACAAGATTAATAATGTGATAAAAAGCATTTCTGTGAAAAAGAAATATTTCCGGTAAATATGAGTGTCTTCATATTTTAAAAAGGGCACTAAAGTGAACACTGACATCCTCAGTTGACCTTATAAAGCTTGGAAGTGATGTAGCTATTTCCATAATTTCTTGTCCTGTTTAGTGGTTTTTATCAATTTCAGCAGTCTTGGAGAATCAATTGTTGTGTTGGAATGATTCATAATTGTCAAACACTCACCCAAAATCCAATCTTAATCATTTGCCAGTGGCATTGTTGTTTTGGAAGGGCTGCAGGCATTTCAGTCCAGTGTTCCACAATGTCACAGCATACATCACATCATTGTTTGCCAAGCTTGGTGTCAGCCAAGGTCTTTTCCTCCCAAACGCACCATCAATAGGGCACAACTGCTCTCACTGGGCCCGCTAAGCAATTAGGAAAGCCTGGTCTGAGTGGTGAGCTGTAGACAGAAAAGCAACAGTGACACAAAACATCCTAATGGTTGTGTGGGGCTTGAGAATAGCCAGGTCATGATGAGTTCACAATGTCCATTGATGTGGTCTGCCATTTTGGATGTGAGATCATGATGGAGGACATGACTTTGTCTCCAGGATGACGTGTTTTGTTAGGGTGGGTGGGTTGGAGAGGGGAGAGGCTAGTCTAATTTTGCTAGCAAACATTTGTGTAAAGTTGTGTAAGGTAATCCCAAAGCTAATCCCAAACTTACTTCACTAGGAATCTAATCGTAATCTTCACTCTAATCCTAACAGTATTAAATTAGGATATGTTTGCCAGAAAAGCATGTTCAAATTTAGCCACATAGTGTAATGGAGCAATCCAGCAACCTTTTAACTTAAAAAGTTCAATGTAAGCACAAGCTATATTAATTTTTTGAAATGTCCTCTATTTCAGTGACAACCTCATACAGAGATTGCATGCTGTATGTTATAATGTCAGTTTCTGTACTGTATCAAACAAATGTCAAAATATAATATATATTGTAATTATAATTAATTGTACAGCGACTGTGTGTTTTCAGATTCACCTTAGCAACTAGGCCTCTGAGTTGAGATCAGAGGTAAAATAAAGGCTATTGTGATATCAAGTATTTCTCCATAGCGTTGTTAATTATTTCACCAATGTTATGGCTGAAAGATGAAAACTCACTGTTGGCTCGCAGTGTTCCCATGGCGACTGTTGACAGAAAGCACATATCGCTGGCTCCCGATTGGTTGAGTGACGTCAGTATGGATAAGGTCAGTTGTTGTCGGAACATCCAGTGTCTGTTAGATTTGTAAGTGTAAAGAAGCGATGTCAGGGAGGCTTTTAGGGTTTGTTTTTTTTATTTTTTTTATTTATTTTTTTTTTGTTCCACTCTGGTTAGTGCATGCCCAAATCTCTCCGCCAGCACTGTTAAGGCTTGTGTTCGAGCTTGTCTCACTCTTGTGAAACACATGATATTTATACTATCCAGATGTTGGGGTCCCGGGGACCGACAGGGAGAGAAGTGAGACTGCCTGCGTTTGCATTACCTGACTTCAGCTTTCAAAGTCATTTCCTCTCAAACAAACAATGCTGCAGGTCAAACCACCCTTGAAATGGCTAAAATCATCATATCCTTTTCATTCCAGCTCTGTTTCGAGACATCTGTTTGGAAGAGCCCTTTATTTGGCAAAGTGCTCAAAGAGTTGTTTCATATTCTTTTACTGTGATGTGAAAGGATACTATAATACACAGAATATACATTCTTAAAATTAAAAGTTCCTAAGTGGTTCTTGGCTTTGAAAAGCATTGAACTGATACAGAGCCTTTACATTTTGTGGAGCTACTTTAAACTTTGAAAAAGGTTTTTCACATTTGCACATCATTTGCAAAAAGAGATCCTTTGTTGTAAGAAACTAAAAGTAGATCTTCTATGGCCACTCCTGTTATTGTTCTTGACTTAACTAGACTACTATAAAGTCTTGCTCTGGTCTCGATGTGTCAGACTTCTCTCTAATAGTCTTGACTACAGCACTACTGTATATTCAGAGACAGTGAATGCAAGACATGGGATTAGAGGCACTTGAATCTTATTTTGCTTTCATTTTTATTCTTGGACAACATAAAAGAATTGTCTGCTAAATTGTTTGGTAACAGTTTAGTGTTCATAAGGCTCCAAGACGCCTACTTAAGGCCGTCATATCCACATAAACAAAGGCTGCTTTTGTCAACTTTGATATTATGCTGACACCTATGTCACATCGATTTTTTTTCTGATATTGGATTGTGTCAGACAAATGACTCTTTAGCTTAGTCTATATCACAATAACATAACACTGATGATGTGACATAGCTTATTGATGTTACTAATGATAACATGAAACTCAGATTATCTTTGGGTCACAGAAATGCTCACTTTTGTTCAACCATGCTGACATGGAAGGGTATATCATCTTATAAGCTACTAAGTCTATGTCATTTCACCCCAAATAGTTTCATGACACATATATTATGTCAGCTTGACATCAGTGTTAATGCCTAGTGCTTATAAATGTTTATTTAGGTCTTTGACAGGCTTTTGTAGGTGTCATGTAGCCTTATGAACAGTGCCCTTCAGTAAAGTGTCAGTTATTTTCATTATTGTGTATCTGGAGATCTATTTCTGCTGTTAGACTAGATTGTAATAATTTGTAGCTTCAAAATAGACACACAGTTCAGAGTGACTGTGTAATGGCGTTTAGTCACTGGAGTTTTCAAACAGTTCTAAAGATGCTTGATGGCAACAAAACCATTCACACATACTCACACTGGAGAAGTGTTGGCGGCTTGTAATGAGGACTATCGGCTATGGGGAATGTTGTGAGTTGGAGCTTGTGGGCATCATGAATGGAACAGATTTATAGTTGGGAAAATCCCCCATGGTGTATGGGGACACCGAGAGGGAAGCCCTGTGTGTTTCTGTGTATTTCACAGGGCAATGAAAGGCCATTCCGCCCTCCACCAGCTCTCTAACACAAGAAAGCCCTTGTTCCTCTGCGCCCATATGCACGCTCCCTCTTTCCTTTTTTCACCTACACTTGGGCCCTGTCCTGCTGCTACCCTGCGATGCGATGCTACCCTGTGAAAGTATAGGAAGCACCAGGAAACAATGTTTTATTGTACTGTTTGCACTAAATGTAAAGGGGACACAGTAGTTTGGGTGCTTTATGGCAAGCTTGAGATGAATAGGTAGCAGATAGTGTGCAGTTTGGAGGGGTTTGACAACAGAAAGGGAATTTTAGGAATTTTGTATAGAATTGTATTCATACAATCTGTTTACTGGTTTCTGGTTATGTCAGTCCATCTGAGGAGTATAAAATGCATGGCAGTTGGACTGTTAGAATTGATTATAATCAATGCTAATAATATAATTAATAAAATGTTTATATTTCTTCATTTTTTGCTAAAATAATATTCTAAAGCTATTTTCAAATGCAATTCTCAAGCTGTTTTCAAATTCTAAAACAATACAATTTAGAGTGTTATTAATTTAAAATGATTTTATTTAAGGGCGGCACGGTGGCGCAGTGGGTAGCGCTGTCGCCTCACAGCAAGAATGGCCTGGGTTCGATTCCCGGCCGGGTGACCAGGGTCATTTCTGTGTGGAGTTTGCATGTTCTCCCCGTGTCTGCGTGGGTTTCCTCCGGGTACTCCGGTTTCCTCCCACAGTCCAAAAGCATGCAGTCAGGCCAATTGGACATGCTGAATTGCCCCTAGGTGTGAGTGTGTGTGTGTGAATGTGTATGTGTGTATGTCTGTCTGTCTGCCCTGCGATGGACTGGCGACCTGTCCAGGGTGTATCCTGCCTTCCGCCCAATGACAGCTGGGATAGGCTCCAGCACCCCACCGCGACCCAGAAGGATAAGCGGTTTAGATGATGGATGGATGGATGGATTTTATTTATTTAGTTTTATTTTTTTTGGTATGTTGTTTCAAGCCTGCCTAGTTTCAATTGTTCAGCTTGACAGGATAGCATTTCAATTTGGAAGTTTGGTGTTATGTAATTGTAATTTATTTTATGCACTAAAAATATCACAAATGGCACTTTCAGTTTTCAGCTGAAAGAGGGAAAAAGGCAGAAAACTTTGACTGAAAAACAAACAACAAACACTTTACAAATGAAAATGAAAAATAGTGGTTAACTGTGCACAGCACACTTCAGACAGTTTGAGCAGCAGCAGATAAACAGTGAAAATGTTGGCCATCTGGAACTATGAGGGATATTAGACAAGTAATCTGTAATCACTGTTCATACCAAGTACCATAAGAGCAACTCCCAAGAACTTCGGCATTACAGGTTTGATACCCCTTGAAAACAGACAACCCTCTTAATCTGCAGAATACAGCAAAACAGCAGAAGCAGAATGTCCCTGCGAGCATGATGACACCACCTTTAGCTTCAGTTTTTCAACTGCAAAGTATTACTAAAAAATAAATGAATGTATTGCCTTACATTACCAGCTATTCTGTGTTGCTGTATTTTGTAGACACATATTGTATATACTGTAATCATTTATGTCAATTGTTTTAATTTATTGTCGCCTTTTTTTGTTTTTTGGCCCGCTGTGTCCTGAATTTCGGTTTCAGTCAAGAATTTTCATTTCAAGTGCATCACTGGTTAACATGTTTTGGCAAAGCTCGAGTTATGTGCTACAGTTTGTTAATAGGTTGAATAGGATGTCAGATGTCAGTGTTCTGTAGCTTGTCCAACCTCACAACAGATGTTAAGAAAGTACATATTTCTGGGTGGAGCAAGAATAGGTCAGTTAAATTGAATTGTTGTGACATTTGAGATTTCATGATGCATTGAATTTTATCCCTAAAGAATTGTAATCTGTTTTCACGCCATGCGTGCAAAACAGCAGAAATGGAAAGCTGTTTTGCACACATGGCGTAACTATGATGCTGGGTCTTTTCCAGGTGATCCCATTCCCCATGACTTGTGACACCCGAGAAGACTGCTCGTGTCGGGACCCAAACGCCCAGGAGAACAGCAAAGGGCTCCGCCACCACATGCTGGGCTGAGGCTGGGCTGTCGACCCCCAGGAGCACCTGACAGGAGGAAACAAAAAGAAAAAAACATTCCTCTCTCCATGCTGCTTACAAGAGGGCCAATCCACTCACACTGCTCCCTGACACGCCTGCCGCTGTGCCCTCGCTCCCTCATCCAGCAACACCCACCCACCAGGGTATGCCACCCAAAAAACAACACAATACAAAAAGATATATAGGGTTCAACTAGAGATGAAAAGAGTCAGTTTCGTAGGACCAAGCTTCATAATACAACAATAAATAACCGTAGATGTTGGTCATAGAGTCTGGACTGGCCAGCTTTATTGTCTTGTGTTTCCTTTAGTCAGTTGTTATTTGTAAGTTGCAACCGTAGCAAGGTTACAGTTACATACAAGTTATGTACTACAAGAGTGATCAGAACAACATAAAATGAGCAAATTGGAAAGAAAACCTTGCAGTCTTGGGTATTTTCCAACTGCCGTAGAACTCAATACAGTGATTATAAAACATCAGTACTTGCACATCCTTTATAGCTCCTGTTTCTTTTTAACAGCAAATACTGTCTGTTACAGCATAGGAAAAATAAAAGCAATGTTCTGGATCTAATATCAACGCTCATCTATAAGACGCATAGGAAAAGGAAGGTGTTTCCCCATAGCTAGGAATAGGAAGATGCAGGGGTGCAGCCCATGTGGCAGTAAATAAAAAAACTCTAGATCATCCAGATACGCACACCTAAACCTGAAAAGTGTCACCTCAAAAGAGGTGTTAATCCAATGAATTACAACTCCAGCTGTGTGTGAGAGAGAGAGTGAGTGAGGGAGAGAAGGAGAAGGAGGGATGGAGAGAGAGAGTAAGAGAAGCTGGCCACGAAGAGATGTGAAAGAAGTTGTGTTAGCACAGCTGTTGCTGCTAGTTTTGCTGCTTTGGCCGTGCAGCCAAAATCTCTCTGCAGATTGTGTTTTGTTGAGCATGATGTTGCATCCACAGTCTACCTTCCATCGTACCTCTGGCCAAATTGCAGCTATACAAATATAAAAGAAAGTATATAAAACATTCACACACAATAAGATAGTTGTGAATTTGTGCAGTTTCATTCCAAGAGATTAAAGTGAATGCAGAAAAGTTATAGGTAATAATATAGAAAAATACAGTACTGTGCTAAAGTCAGTCCACATATACTTTAGTTAATTTCCAGTCAAAACATCATAGTTTTTCATATTTAGCATTAAGTAAAAAAGCAGCAAACATGTATTCAACAGAAAATTACACAGAAGCTTCAACAGCTAAATATAAACATCTTCAGTATTTAGTCCACCCTTTACCTTTATTACAGTTTCAATTCTTTTCAGGGGACTTGCATTCAGTTTTTCAAAGAAATCTGCAGTAATATTTTACCACACCTCCAAAGTTTTTAAAAGTCTTAGAGGTTGGTTGTACATTCTGCTTCTCACTTTCAGTGCTGTTTATCTGATATGTGACAGGTTTAATGATCTACCAGGTAGGAGTTCGATTTTCTATTTCTGTATCTTTTAATATTTAACTTCATACAAGTGAATTACATATAATCTCCTCAGAAGTATCTCCTGAAAAAATGAATAACTTGTACTTTATGGTCATTTGAACTGAAAGTTAAATCAATAAAATTGATGAACAACTTGTACTTAATGGTCATTTGAACTGAAAGTTAAATCAGTGGTGATCTCTGACTTTTGCACAGTACTATACAGTTGCATTTTAACTTTATTCAAGATTTTACTCCCAGGATATTTCCACAAGCATATCAGCTCCTCAGAAGTAAACTGGGCTCTCATGCACAATTTCTAAATGGTAGAATACCATGTATATGCTGCCATGAGTGAATGATATCAGCATTCTTATCATGTCTACCTAGTACTTTCTTTCAGTACTGCATTATTAATCAGTAGTAAGACTAACAGTTCATTCCAGCTTATGTAAAATCCTTATTGTGACATTAAGAATGTAAATTGGAATTCACAGTTGTAAAATATAATTAGGAATGAGAATCAAAACATTTGTATTGTGAAGGAACTTTAAACAACAAATGTTGCATTAGCAGAAAGAGAGATGTGTATAAATATCTGTAGAGAGTAGTCGGAAGGAATTGCAAAATAACCAAGCCTATTTTTGCCATCTTGAAATTAAAAAAGAGTTTTTATCTTGACCCCTCAGTCATAAATATCATGAGTTTATAGCATTCTAAAGTGAACATCTCTTTCACTTTTTAGTATTATCTTATTGGAAATCTAAGAGAAGAGGAACGGTTGAGTAAAAAAATCAAATATACACAATTTTACAACTTGACCTCAGATATAGTCGATCAGCCAAGTTATGTTTGGTGTCCAAATTTTGCTTCTTTAGTTTACCGCTGGAGCTACGAGGCTAACGTTGCTAACAAAGTCAATAGTCACCCAAGTCTTTAAATCTTTTCCATAAATACATCCCCAAAACATCTCTCAACACACTCAAACAGCATCAAGGTTACAGCATCTTTATTAAGGTCACACAGACTTGTCAGAGTGGTTTAGAGCACAGTATGACTTACTGTGGCGTATACAAATGGGCAGAACTTCACCATGTGGCTGAAAACACTTTAGACACCAGGGTGTCCTGCCAAATTCGATTCCTCTTTGTGTGCACAACGTCGTGCGGACATATGTACACTGTTGTTTCTTTTCATGAACAACCATTAATCCCGAATCTTTGAATTGAAGATAGGTCCGCATGACATGCGTGAACATGAAAGGGAGGTGGATTCTGTGGGGGAGTCAGAATTCGGCACATCACTTGCTGTCTAAAAAGACTGACAGCAGTGTTTAGCTACACAGTGAAATTTGGTTTATTTTTTAGTTCACAGCCATACTGTTACCTAAATCACACTAAAAATGAATGGTCTTCTTAATGAAGTCCTGGATAGAGTTTAAACCGGATGAGAGTTTTCTGAATGTGTTTAAGGAAATGATTTGGGTGACTGTTGACATCTAGTGTTTGTTAGCAACGTTAGCTAAACTAAAGAAACTAAAATTTGAGCACCTCTGATCAACTACCTCTGGGCTAAGAGGACAGTTGTGTAAATTGGAATTTTTGCCTTACCATTCCTGTAAAGTTTCACCCTTAGTGCAATTAGTAGAACAGTCTACATCTGAATCATTATAAATTTAAGCATTACCACATATATTAATGTGCTCTTTTTATGCATTACAAAGACACTAATGCTTATGTGAAGTCAAGAGCTGCAGAAAGGCTTAGAGACGTTTAGCTGAGTCCTTCACAGTGTCCATGAACTCACACACACACAAACTGTGGCGTCCTCTCGTGCATCTGTTACTGATAATGTGGGAACAGCAGTAGACGTCGAAACGTAGTCATGGAAATGCAAGACTGCACATTCAGCAGAAACAGAGGTTGTGCTAGTTCAACGAGCCATTTCGGCAAATAGGTTTTTATGGATTGCATTTGTAAAGAAATGCTTCTATTGTGTTCTGTGGCAATGGGAAGATTAGATGAACTATGTAGATTCCTTTATCATGTCTTTGTATCTGGGGATGTACTCAAACTATATTACTATAAATCAGTATTTTTATCATCGACCTCAGTTACTGCACTTGTCTTTGTAAAGTTGTATGTCGATAAATGGAGAAAAAAAAGAAAAAGAGAAAAGTTTACCTTACAAAAGCTGCTATTGTCAGACAGGTAATCATTATCGTTACATGAAATATTGTCACCGTATTGCATCATTATGTATTTAAACCTCTTTTTGATTTGTTTTCCCCTTTTGATACGTATATTTTAACACCGCAATTTCAAGGTGAAAAAGAAAAAAAATTAATAAATGCATATACTCTAACAAAAACCAGAATACACTCAGAATACAGCTTTCATTCTCAGCTATCCAAAGCGAAGACCTGAACCCAAGTAGAAGGAGCATGGCAATAAATAGAGTGAAAAGACAGTTGTAGGTACAGTAGTAAAGTAGTGGGTTTCTTGTTTTGCATTCAAACGTAGATCTGTGCTCAGTTTTTTCTTTTTTTCAATGTACCATGTGATATTTAGTCTTTATAAATGTCTTTATCCTCAGTGTTAAACTGTATGCTATTGTATGTAATAATAAATACGAAAATACTGCTGCTTTATATCAAGTATCACTTGGAGAGAGTGCCTAGAACAAATGCCAGTACATGTGCAATTTCATAAAGCAGTAGCGAAACTGGTTTCAACTGTACACACACAAAAAATAACCGCTTCTGAGCATTCTTGGTATATGTCTTCTTTTATTTTCTGGAGAGCCTCAGAAAAAAAAAGAAAAAAAAACACCTCAGTATATCCGATTGTCCGCAAATGCAACCATAACCCTGTTTATTTTCTTAAGCCATGAAAAACTCCATTGAAACTCCATTGAAACAAGTGAAGTCTGATACAGATGTTTGAAGATAGAACATATTCTACTGTAAACTCGACAGGATCCTTTTGCTGTACCTCATGCCTGTAATGTTTGCTGCTTACTTATTCAGTATTTTAGTAATTTAAGTCTCTTAGCAATATCCAATGGTGTAAATAATAGAATTATTTATTAAGAATGTTGTTTTTTTTATTTATATTTACACAGTGTTCATCTAAGTTATTTTTGTATGTCTCCTATGTAAACGTTGCGTTGTGATTGAAAGTTTGTTTGTTTTTTTTTCCCTCTTTCTTTCTGTCCGTTCATCTTATTCAGTTAGAAACTACAGGTCTAACCTCACTGCAAATAAATCTGAAGGAATGACCCTTTTTCTTGGCCACGCTTGCATCAGTAATAAACGATCCTCCTCTGTAAGGGCAGTGTTATAGAAATGTCAAGTGGAGAAAAGCTGTACAAAGCTCCCCTTTGCTCTGTTGGATTCCTCCCCTGTTTTAAATTCCATACATGTGTATATTCAGTTTCTGAGGGGAAATGGTGAGGGAACATCTATTTCCTACGTGTGTATTTGTGTATACACTTTGAAAAGGTCAGAGACTGAAGGCACTCACGTGGTTTAATGTAAATAGTAGAATACGTGAGAAAAGCACAGGGAGGCTTGTGGTGGATTAGCTGCTGATGTTTGGCTGCTTATAGGCAGCGTTTTGTGCAGCGTCCTGCTGGGAGGAATAAACATCTCTGCCCATTCAGTTTTAGCAAAACACGTGGAGGCTTATGAGAAACCCACGTTGATCCATGAACAGGCAGGCGTCCCTCAGAAATATTCTGTCTATGATTGTGTTGAGTTGACTTGTCAGTGCTCTGCCCACCAATGCTGTCTTTCATTGCTTTTTTTTGTTTGTTTTTTTTTTTCCTCAAAGAATTTAGAGATTGAATTTCAATGA